ATACACGCTAAGATCTGATACTATACTAATACCATACACGCTAACTCAGATCTGACACTACTAACACCATACACACTAACTCAGATATGACACTATACTAACACCATACACACTAACTCAGATCTGACACTAACTCAGATTTGACACTATACCAACACCATACACGCTAACTCAGATCTGACACTATATTAACACCATACACGCTAACTCAGATCTGATACTATACTAATACCATACACGCTAACTCAGATCTGACACTATACACGCTAACTCAGATCTGATACCATACTAACACCATACACGCTAACTCAGATCTGACACTATACTAACACCATACACACTAACTCAGATCTGACACTATACTAACACCATACACGCTAACTCAGATCTGACACTATACTAACACCATACACGCTAACTCAGATCTGATACTATACTAACACCATACACGCTAAGATCTGATACTATACTAACACCATACACGCTAACTCAGATCTGACACTATACTAACACCATACACACTAACTCAGATCTGACACTATACTAACACCATACACATTAACTCAGATCTGATACTAATACCATAAAAATGTGCCCCACATTAGGATCCCTAAATCTGTTACATGAGTGGAACTTCTGAGGTGGGGGGAAGGAAAAACCTTTTTTTCTTTTTTAACTGTTCTAGTAAGAATCTCATTTACAATGAAAAATTCTAATTAAATTAAACTAGCATCTTAGTTAAGTTCTTACCCTAAATATGGTTGGTTCTAAAAAAAGACATTTTAATATCTTTAATGTCACACTGAATTGTTAAACTGGTGAGAAAATACATAAACCTAAGTATTCTAAACAGGCATGAATTAAATCACTGAACGTTGAGGTTTTAAATGTGGTTCCAAAGTGGGAACAAAACTCCAGTGTGGTTGATGGTTTTTCAGGGCCAAGCGCATCACTGGGTGGGTGATTTCTGGACTGTGGGAGCTAGTGTTCCATCACTGTTCCATGTCATCTTTTATGTGGCTTGTACAGCTGTCTTGCTGCTGGACTTTTTTTTTTTTTTAATCTCTGTAGCAGTGTTTCTCAATTCACTGGACTTTTTACAAATTGAACATAGTGATTGGTCTCAAAGCATTTAAACCCTCGAGTTTGGTAAATGACTTACACTAGGATCAATTAGTGTAATTGATCACCAATCTTTTTTTTTGAGACACAGTCTCACTATGTTGCCCTCTGTAGAGTGTTGTGGTGTCACAGGTCACGGCAACCTCCAACTCTTGGGTTTAAGTGATTCTCTTGTCTCAGCCACCTAGGTAGCTGGGACTACAGGTGCCTACCACAGTGTCTGGCTATTTTGTTGTTGTTGTTATTGTTGTTCAGCTGGCCTGGGCCAGGTTTGAACCTGCCAGCCCCAGTGTATGTGCCGACACCCTAACCACTGACATATGGGTGCCAAGCCTGCTACCAGTCTTTTTAATCTAGATCTTAGAATTTAGTAGCATTTGTCTCTCCATAAACCTCTACAAATCCATCACCTGTCTGTACCTGGGATACTAAATACGCTTTAAGGCTCTTCTATAAAATTCTGGCTTAGAAGAAAATTGTCTCTACTCCAGAAATTCCTAAGTTAGGAGAACTTTTATGCTCTTTTACGGAATAGAGATCAGTTTTCTATCTTGTTTAGATTTGAGGAAATGAACATTAATAGTTTAGTTGTCTTGCAAAAACCAGGCACAAGGTAGGAGAAGCACAGAGCATTTGGTGGAATTAATACAAAGGAGTCAGTTTCTGAAGTCAAATCCAGGTGTGTGTTCCTGGCTCTCCCATCACGGGATTGTTTTTTTTTTTTCTTTCCTTAAGCCCTGGTTTTCAAGTTTAATGAGGGATTGAAAGTGGATCACAGTGAACTTTGAACAAGGCCTTGGAGGTACTTCGCCTTTTGAAGTTTCGGTGCTGAGCTCGTGCTGTTTGGATATTAACGACCCTCTTCCTTTTCAGGACGCAGCCAAGGTCTGCAGAGAATTCACTGAGCGCGAGCAGGGAGAAGTCCGCTTCTCTGCTGTGGCCCTCTGCAAGGCAGCCTAGTGCCCTACCAGAGGGAGTTGGCTCTTTTCCCTTCAACGTGAAGATATATACCTCCCCACGCAGTCTAAAATACTCCAGTATTTGTGAAACACAGCTGTTCTCCTTCCATTCTGCAGACAGGCTCTTCCCCGCAGCCACACCCAAGCACGAGCTGTCCATCAAGCCAAGTTTGGTGTGAGCTTCAGATGGTGAAGCATTTCCCCTCATCATACGTCTTGTACCTGAATATCTAATGCTTTAAATGGCTACTTTGGTTTGTGTCTGTAAGTTAAGGCCTTGGATGTGGGTTAATTGTTTGTCCTTAAAAGAAATAAACCTTTTCTGCTGGTAAGATACAAGCCTGAACTTTTTCTCATTTTCTTTTACCTTTCCCTGGAGAGATCTCAAAATATTTTTATACGGATCTACAAGTGTCTTTCACATCAGCAACTCACAGAGCACAGCTAAGAAAATTACCATTAAAAATAGGGGTTTGTTGTGACTCTAGACTTACATGCATTTATATTGTGTATACCTGTAGAAATTAAGTCTTAAACAATTCTAAATATAAAAAGTTTAAATAGATTATTTTTAGAAAAATAATAGAAAATTTTAGAAACTATTATAGAAAAATTAATATTCTAGAGTTCCCATCAACTCCTTACCCCGTGTCCTCTGTTAATGAGAAATTGACACGCTGCTGTTAAATCCAAGTCTGGGCTTATTCAGATTTACTTAGTTTTTACCTAATGTCCTCCTTGTGTTTCAGGATCCACATGATACTCACTTGTGGATTGTTAGGCTTGTGGCTGTGTAAGTTTCTCAGACTTGTGTTTTGGATGGTCCTGACTGCTGCGGGGAGTATTGGTTGTGTATTTAGTAAGATGACCTATTGGCCAGGCACGGCAGCTCCCGCCTGTAATCCTAGCACTCTGGGAGGCCGAAGCTGGTGGATTGCTTGAAGTCATGTGTTTGAGACCAGCCTGAGCAAGAGTGAGACCACGTCTCTAAAAATAAACTAGCCAGAGGTTGTGGAGAGCATCTGTAGTCCCAGCTACTTGAGAGGCAGAGACTAGAGGATCGCTTGAACCCAAGAGTATGAGGTTGCTGTGAGCTGTGATCCTACGGCACTCTACCTAGGTGACAGAGTGAGACTCTTGTCTCAAAAAGAAAAAGAAAAAAATGCCCCTCTACTAGGATTTGTCAGAGGTCTTCCTATTAATTAGACCGGAGTTCCAGGGTTTGGGGAGGAAGACCACAGAAGCGGGGTGTCATCATCTTACCTAAAAGCGTTCAGAAACATGATTGACCACTGTTAATGTCCTTGGTCACCCAATTGAGGGAGCATCTGTCAAGCTTCTCCCCGGTAAAGTGATTTCACCTGCCCCCATCCACACTATAATTGGAAGGACGTCAGGACCCAAAACCCACACGTAAGAAGTGGGGATTTATGGTCTATCTCCTTGAGGGCAGAGAATCTCTAAATTTTTTGGAAGGGAAATTTGTGTCCTCTATTTAATCTTTCATATCAATGTAAGTCATGCACCTTATGTTCTAGTTTATATCATAATCTGACACTACTTGTTCACATTGTCCCAGCTTTAGTCACCGGGAGCTGTTTCAGCTGGTTCCTGTGTCCCTTTGATACACCCCCTATCAATGTAGGGGTTTGGGGGGTTTTTTAGGATGTTAAAATGTATCATAATTTTATCACCTATAACGTAAAGTGTTCAGAAATTTTTGATAATTACAATTTTTTGAAAAATGTTCCTTGTACATTGTTTTTTCTATTTTTGTTTCACTAAATATTTTTGCCTTTGGCTGTGACAGTCCTTGAGATTGATTCTCGTTGCTGTCACCCGGCCATCACCATGGAAACATCTCTCTAAAATGTGCTCCTTCTTTTAATGCAATTACTCACCTTTTTTTAAAAAACAATTCCTTTCTACAAAAACTGTTTTCAACAGATATCTTCACTTAGTAAATAAGGATACGCTAATTCATAGGCTTTCACTAAGGTTAAATGAAGACATTTGTGCTCAACTGGAGCATGCTCGATGTTACCATTCCCTTCTAGTTACAAAAATAAAGGGTACGAGGAAAAAACTTGATGCTTCCCACCTTTGCTGTCCTCAGAGAAGAGCTCTAGCCTGTCTGCTGCAAGGAGTCCAGATAATTTGGATCTCAGTGTTTTTATCTAATTCTTTCAACTTCTAAGTAAAGGATATCTCAGTTTCTGGAAAGAAAAGTGATCACATCTGTTGACACCCTGTTAGAAGCTATGCAGTGATGCAGGTGATTCTGGTTTCTTAGAGTTGAGGTTAGAGGGGTGCATTTTAAACGCTCACCGGGTGGGTGACTTCTGTTCAGTCACCTAGAAGGCTGACTTACGGAAAAGAAGCAGACTGAGGCTCTTTCCTGCTTACAGGGGCTGGTAACCCAGGTGGTTTGGGGCCTCAGAAATTATACCATTAAACGTAGCTGGAAGACTTTCTGCTTCATATATGAGATGGATATTTATTTCAATGCTCTCAAACTTCTCAAACTAACATGCCTGAGCATGCCACGCCGTGGAAGGTTACGCAGCAGATGCTGTGTGGGTGACTGCAGCCCCAGGGATGCAGAGACATTTCCGTTTCACTGAGGAAACATTCAGTGACCTGTCCAAGTTCTCATCACTAATCCCTAGGGAAACCAGGACTTCCACCGCTGGCCTAAGGGTAGCTATCCTGGGCTGGGCATCAATATAAAAGGGATTCAGGATTTATCAATCCTGTCTTTGACCTCTGTTCCTGCCTCTGTGACTTTGGGCAAAGGAATTACCCTCTAGCTCATCTTCATTGTTTGATGTTGGGGTGGACAGTAAAGACGTTTGGGAAGGGCCTTCTCATAAAGGACTGGGGAGCACCCACAGGTCTGCAGTCGGCTCTGCCAACCGCAGAGGATGGAAGGGGACAGTGCCCTGGGGAAGGAGCGCTGAGCTACAGCCAGCCCCGCAGACGTCACAGATTCCTCTCCCAAGCTTTTCTCACACAGGACACATTTCTTGGTGCCACTTAATGCAAAATAATAACACCTACTCAGTCCATTTGCCTTGACCTGAGGGATCTCAGGAGGCCAACACCAGCAAGCTCTCCGCAGGCAGAGACGGTGCAGCCCTGCAGTCCCTATTAACGATCCTCACAGCCTTTTACTAAAATCTCAGGCAGGAGAAAATGCAGCACAGTGGAAAGCTTCAAAGAAAGAGTCAAGGTTATGGGCGGCACCTCTGGCTCAAAGCAGTAGGGCGCCAACCACATATGCCGGAGGTGGCAGGTTCAAACCCAGCCCCCAAAACTGCAAAAAAACAAAAAAAGAGTTAAGATTAAAAAAGTTTTTCTTTAACTGTGTGACTGAACTCTTAACACATTGTTTACCGCACTTCTGTCTAGCCTTAACCTTATCACTTCTACCTGTGACTTGGGGTTGAGACAGGAGGCTGTGCCTGGTGACTGTTGTTTTTAGTACTGTACCTGTGACTTGGGGTTGAGACAGGA